TTTCATTTTAAACTTGAAATGGTTCATTTTACGCGTCCTAAAAATGATGACACGATTTTCTTTTGATAAAAGACCAACAATTTTTTGCTCTACTTTGCATCGAATACGATCATACTATAGTACTCATCAGTATGCCATAGGAGAGTCTTCAATGATTTAGCTGTATTAATGTCTACATTCATAAAGAAATTATATAAAATTACTCACTACATTTTTGTCCATTTTGAGACCACACTTACCTACATAATAAATCAAGTGCATAGCAGCATGCTCTTGGAAGGTAAACTCCATAATTATAACATCAAACACCACTGTTATTACTCTGACAACTTACTTTCTTTGGTATTAAAACAATGTCAAATTTTCGACACGTAATTCTAAATTGACTTTGTTTTGAATTCGTGTCTTCAGCCAATTTGTTGATCTTTAAAATTTTGGTTGTTTCTTAATAAACAAGCATTTACAGACATACGTTTATAGAAACTTTTTATGTTTAGTGCTGCGGTCCCTTCAATTTTGATGATCATTTGATGATAATTTTTTATTATATTCTCCATAGTGTAAGTAAAACGATAAACAAAATGGGTCTTAATTGTAGTAGTAAACTATAATCCTGATGCCTGTAAAAGTTCAATATGGTTAATACTGATATTTTTCATGAATATTTAAGGAGGTATATCGGGTTTATTCAAATGCACTGATGTATTTGAAATTTATATAGCGTATTACCCAGTGCTCCCTCTGTGCGTCATATTTTTTTGAAATTTTTTTTGAATCTAGATTTTGAGATATTCTTGTTAAAAGTTGTTCATTTTAACATAGCTTTATATGGCGAAGATGGACGGTGAAGCTCTTTTTTTGCCCATAACTGAGAAAAAAATGTAGAAATTGTGAAACAAAACTTTTCCATTGATAGTACACAGTATTATCTTATTTTTGATGTAAAACTAATGTAAGTTTTGAACATAGTACAGCTGTATTAATTAGAAACAGAAACCAATAATTGCATTTCTGTCTGACTTGAGGATTAATGTGGCAACGTCGCAATCAGCTGGCAGCAAGGAGGGAATAAATTTGAAAAACTTGATAAAAACGATTGATTTCAAACATATACATTTTTCCAAAATCCCATGTACATTGTTATCAACAATAAATTATCCACAACAGATGATTTTTTGTAATGTTTTTAAAAAACTAGATTAATTAAAAAAAGACTAGGAAGCTGTGATATATTTATTGGAATAAAAAATACAGTTGATAATTCCTTTTAATATACAAGTACCCAGCAATATTTAGGGTTACATAAAGTTTTCTTTACTTGATTAATATAATTAGTAATACTTGAGATAAAAGCATTTGTACGGAATAACAAAGAAACATAAATATTTCTCAGCAAACTTTATATCTAAAAAATTAGCTGCAGTTGCAAAACTTTTGTAACATTACTAAAATAGAGATTAAAAACACGAACAGTGAGTAATAGTGTAATTTCTATCACAGAACCTTCAAAATTACATCCAACATTTTCTTTGACTTGGACGAGAGATGGGCGCGAGTGTCATTTCATTTCTTTCGAACTAAATTAACATATTTCTCGATGTTTTTACCAGTTCACATGATTTACGGATTTTAAATAAAGGATACAAATCTTCGCGAGGATAATACGATATATTTGCTATATATAATAATTATATTGTACATAATTTACACACAATACCTTTTTGAACGCGTACGCATCTTTACCCGAATTTGACGCGCAATATCTCCGATGTCCGAGGTCTGTAGGTTCGCAGTGTGTGCAACTGCTAGTCAATTATTAGCGCTGTTGCCACATCTACATAGTCTTTATGCGTTCATTAAATATAATTTAAAACTACTTAAATATGATATTTTTACGTTGTTAATTAGTCAATATGTATGCTATGTGCATTTGAGTAGATTTATTTGCTATATAGATAATGTTTATCGCAAATAATTCCGATAGAATTTAATTTTTTCAAATTGGCAGCGGGCTTTAGTCCCATAAGAAAAGCATACCCCCCTGCGCTCCTCATTTCCCTCGGATCCCGATATACCTCCTTAATATAATAGTCACATATAACTGTATTACTACGCCACAAATTAATCTAAACACGTGGTCTGCTAGATCACTAGCAGAATTCTCTAGGCACACGCGCTGTAGCAGCACACCAAGTAGTCACATCAGTGTAAATCAAACTTAAATAATGTAGAGTAAAAACTGCGGTGTCTTTTCATTTACAAAATGTGATTATTGTTCTTTTCTAACTAAACCCCGTATTTAAGCATTTCTTAACTTCGTTGAATACGGTTTTTAACGGAAACAAAAATTAAAGCCACTTTCCGTAGGAAAAATTTCACATTTTAAAATTTTTTGGATGCCCTGTATGTTTTATTACATATTTGATTACTGCCCATGGCTTTACAAGATGAGCAAAACTTTTTATCAAAAATAACTTTTTCTCAAAAAATCAACAATTAAAAAGTTACACGAGCGCCCCATCCGGGAACACACTGTATATGTTCCAATTCCGTTACATTTTCCTGTAAATTTCCACCACATTTATCGGAGTACACATTTAACTTTGTATTCTTTACAGAACTAGACCAATTAACTGGCGTCCGATTAAGAAAGCAAAAGTATGCACTTGTAGCGAGTTCACAGCACAATTTACACCGCTTAAAACCACTAATTGCACGTGCCGCATCGTTCTTCCTTTGTTATGATAAATGGAATGCAATTACCTGCCGGCTCGCGATACCCACCTAATTGAGCAATTAATTTGCCACGGCAGATTACCGGAATGAGAAGCAACAGAGGTAAAAAGATCGCTTTGATGCAGGTTTTATCGTTTGGAAGTGATTCTCTACGCCTCAGGTGTTTTCCTAGAATAAATGGATTAATAATAAGTTGCTACCAAGAGAAGAAAAAACGAAAATAATCTTGTAATTAATGTCAAATTAATTAATAAAGTATTGAATGTGAAATCAAAGTCCTTACGTTTGAACAGAAGCGTATAACAGTGTAATCATTGAACTGGTAGCACAGAATTATCCCTCTAATTGGTGAGATTTTGAAGCTTTCATTATTCAACAGAGTAGTTGGAACTTAACTTGAAATCTCATTATTTTGAACTTTGGAATAAACTTTGCAAGTAAAGGTAAACGAAAGCTTTAATAATATCTCATTCTAGCATTTAATTATTTCATTTGTTATGTCGTGTACGATTTCATAAAGCGTTCTAACAAGCAACTTTAATTTCATATGTGTGTGATTTGCAACTAGCATTTCATAAACCAGCTTAATATGTGAATACAATTTCAGTTACGACGAGCTTTATATAAAATAACGAGTACAAAACGAATTCAGTTCATTGCATTTGCATGTATCTGTGTATAGTCCGAGAGCCCGTGACATTTTGAGGGTAGTCATTTTACCAAGGCTGATTTTCGCATATGTGTGAGGTCTTACATAGTACATAAACCAAACGACCTTCAGCTGTCAATCTTAGGGTGGATGTGGGAGGATCACTGGATAGACTGCAGCAGTCTAGTTAGATGGCTTCCACGGTCCCTGGACCTCACCCCTTTAGACTTCTTTTTGTGGGGATATATGAATAGTGTTGTGTATTCCACGGAAGTACGTGACATCGACCAACTGCGACATCGTTGCAACTCATGCGAGCGAATTGGATACATCGCGCTGAAGCTTGTGTGCAAGCAAATGGTGGGTACATCGAACATCTTCTATGAAAATCAGCAGTTTTCAAACGGTTTTAAAATTACATTATACTCATCACAAATCCGTGTATTTACCTAATCATATGTGAAATTTTGTATTGTTTATTGTTATGGTTCGTTTTTCCAGTAAAATAAATATTTTTTCTTAGAAATACCGGCGAAATTCAGTGGCGTCGAAGGTCTAGGGTTCTTAATGACTGTGTTTCCTGGTATTTCTGCAATCATTTCAGTTTCGTTAATCTACGTTAAGCATGTTAATAATTAACACCCTGTATTTAACCAAGTTAGACAAATAAATGTTAAAATGCAATAATTTAAATAATTTTAACTCTTTGTTTATTTTATTCTTAATTTTGTTGATTTTAAACCCATTATCGAGCATAATTAAAAAATGTTCGATGAAACAGTTCTGTAAACACATTAAATTGAATATTCGTGGGATTTGATAAATCAGTATGAATTGTTTTAACTTGTGCAATGTTTAATTTGCCATAAATTGTGCATGCAAATTTATACAAAATAATGTTATTTGATCTAATTAGCTTTGCAGCTATTTGAATATTTGATTTAATTAATAATAAATACAGAAACAATGCTAACATATTATTTTATAGGTTAGGTAATTTTTGTATTTTGCAAAATAATCCCACTAACAACACGCTTCTGCAGATATTAATATTTTTTGTAGACGTATGTTGTTATACATATACCTACAGAAAACAAGGCAACAAATCAAATTTAAAAAAGTTGTTACGCAAACAATACAAAAGCAAGAAACGAGTGAAAAAATGATTGTATTCTTTTACAATAGAAGTAGTGATCGGAATTTCTCCCTACAAAAACAGAATGTCTGCAATCCGATTAATAAAAATGCTCGCAATTATTAAAAAGTAAGCGGTATTTTTTCATTAGATGAAAACGTGCCCAGGTCCTTTGTTCCTGCCTATCAGGCTTTATTTTTTACCTTTTCAGGTCAAAACCGGGTTCTATATTGTAAAATGCCTTTGGCAGCAATAATCGAATAAAAAAGATGAAAGGTCGAAAATCAAATAATAGTTTTTTAGAAATAATAAGGTTTAAATACTACCAAATATCAAACACAGTAAAAGAAATATTTGCTTTTGATGTATTAAATTTTTACCAACATTAGCTGTAATTTTATGGTTTAGAAAAAAAAAATCGAAATTTGTTGATATAATAAATTATTTAATTTTATGAAAAGTACAAATTGCTTCCAGAAAACCATCTACAAATAATGAGCAGCTTTGTAATGTTGCAGACTTGAATATAGGGTTGGTCTTCCATAACCATAAGTTCCTGCAGAGTATGACAAAGAGACAAGGGGTGAAGTGAACGATGAAATTCCTAAAAAAATAATAGAAAAACCGATTTAGAAAAAAACGCTTGCAATTTTAAAGCAATAAACAACTAATGGCTTTTGCATTTCAAATATAAAAATTACATTTTTTTTAAAACGAACGCATTTTTTGCCATGGAAGATTGCCATGGAACCACTAGTATGTTTTGAGCTGTTAAATTTAGTAAATACATTTTTAAATTCTCTGTTAAGAAAAATGTCTTGTGATAAAAGGGGTTTTATAATCTTTCACCATATTCTAGGCGAAGGACATAATATACAGGGTGGGCCATTAGTGTGAGAAAGTAAAATTTCTTTGTTATTCATAATACAGAAGAAAAGTTTATATAAAAGTTGTACAGAATCAAAAAACCTAAAGGACAAAATCAATTTGAAACATATAGGGCTATTAGTAAAAACGGGACACGCCAAATATTACATTTTTTAGATGGAACACCCTGTATATTTTTAAACATATGGATTTCTGAGAAAATTCTATATATGGCAATTTAAACAGTTTAAGATTTTAGGGCAGGGTTGCCAAGTTATGTAGAAAATTCTTCGAATTTTGGAAAAAACATGACCTCGAGAAGCTGTATTAATGTTCAACTACTAATACTTGAAGCAAAAATATTTGACATAGTTATAGACAAATGTTAGGCAAAGACTCCTACATTAGCTAATATTGATATGTTATACAGGGCATTTTTATAATTCGATCATTTTTAAAAAGTTCAAACTTGATTTATACACATATCAGTCCACTTCAACTTTTATTAAGCATGTTCTACACCTAAAGTTGTTAGTTTTTAAGATATAGCAACATTTCTAGAAACACCTAATTTTTATAATTTTGGGTTGCACGAAATGGCTTTGGAAAAACTGTCACATTGTGTCAACTTCATGTCAGTTCATAATTTATCATTCCATTTTGAGTTAATTTTATTAGTTAATATTTATTTGTGGTAATAAATAATAAAAATTAAGTTTTTTCAGAAATGTTGCTAAAAACTAACAACTTTAGGTGTAGAACATACTTAATAAAAGTTGAAGTGGACCGATATTTGAATAAAATAGAACAATAAAATACAGGGTGTTTGTTCCATTTGAAAAATTTTAGGTCATGTTTAAACTTTCTAAAAATGATCGTATTATAAAAAATGCCCTGTATAAAATATGGATATTAGCTAATATAGGAGGCTTTGTCTAACATTTACCTATAACTCTGTCTAATAATTTTGTTCCAAGTGTTAGTAGCTAAAAGTTAATATAACTACTTCGAGGTCATGTTTTTTCATGACTAAAATGATAAACTGTTTATATTGCCATACATAGAATTTTCTCCGAAATCCATATGTTTAAAAATATATAGGGTGTTCCATTTAAAAATGTAATATTTGGCGTACCCCATTTTTAATCATCGCCCTGTATGTTTCAAATTAATTTTGTAGTTTAGGTTTCTTGATTTTGTTCAACTTTTATATAAACTTTTTTTCTGCATTATGAGTAACCAGGGAGTTATTTTACTTTCTCACACTAATGTATGTATTGGTATAGATAATTTTTTTTTATTGTTTACTTTTCAGAACTACATTGTGGTCAAACTGGTCTTGCGGATCATAAAATTAGTTTAGTAAATTAAATAGACGAACATAAATATGAATTGATTCCAGGACAATATTGTCTATTGTGGAGGTTCGGTGTTCCACAGGGCACAGACATGTACCTTCTCCTTTAATGAATATGATGCCCATACTTTGTTATAAAAGAATCTGTGTATGAGAAATAGAATTTTGTTCAATGAATGTACAATAAAAGAAAAGATTATATTATAAGCAGATGTATTTACCAATGGGAGCTATCAAGTGTGCAACGACAGGAGCGCTGTTATGAACCACGCTGCTGGAGGTGTGCACTAAGGAAGAAATCGAAGCTCCTTCAGGCGATATAGAAGCAACAGGGGTGAACTCAGGTACGGCCTTACTGGATTTGGTTGCCTCAGCAGCTACCAAATGAGCAACGGGTGCTACGTTGGCCACCAAGACGGCATGATTTGGTACCTGGGGAGTTTTTCGGACGACGGCGTTGAATCCGTTGATCGGGTCGGCAGAGTAGTCAACGGTACGACGGGTGCCATCAGGATCATTTAGAGAATAAGAACCTGGAATCATTTATAACCAAAGAAAACAAGGATAACTATTTATTTTTTAAGAATGTTAATATGACGTTGTTATAAGGTGACTTGATAGTTTTCTTCCTACAAATTTACGTCATCACCTTTCTTGAATAAATCACCCTGTATACTCCGCCTTACCGTGAACAACGTCTCCGTTGCGGCTTTCGACTTGACTCTTGCTGTCTCCCGTTAAAGCATCGTGAACGTCGTACCCGTAGGCGTACTGTGGGTTAGGGTCGTAGTCGTTGTCTACGACAGCAGCAGTTATAGGAGCTACGACAGCTGCTGGTTGTAAAATTCCTGCCCGGGCAATGGCAGCGAACGCCGTCAAAGTGGTTATCTGAAAAATGTGTAGGAAATATGTAGGCATATACAGTACGTTCAAAAATTTTATTATTTTACCATCATAAACTGAAAGAAAATAATGGGGTGTTATTTAATTACTTCAAATGTGATTCAGAAGGTTCCAATTTTAAGGAAATCTGTTCTCATGAACTTATGTCCTAAACGACTTAGTTTTCAATATACAGGATGTTAAAATTTTTTTAAAATATCTCATTTGCCCAAATATCTCTAAAAGTGCAAATATTATGCAACTTTTAGTAAATTAATTGCGGTAAAGTAAAATTTACTTAATTTTTATAAAACTATATCAACCGCTGGTGGAAATACTTGAAAAAACTGCCACTGAAGGCCCTAGATTCCATAGTATTTTAAATAAAAGATTCCTTTCACGTTGTTTATAAAGCAGGCCATTTTGAAGTTACTTTTTTTAATTTTAAAATACGTTTCCCAGGTGGTTGAATCGGTTGTTAGTAATTTTAAAACTATGTACCTGTTTATTTTTCAGTATTGTGTCATACTCGTATGTGAACAAACTTTGAAAATTAATAAAAAACGCCAAAAGATTCAGTGAAGAGTTATTTATTTAAAAGGTTGCCTAACCAAGAATCTCCATTGAAAAGAGCAGGCAAATACAAAATACACATCACTATACAGGGTGATTCACAAATGTTGACCAACAATGAAACCTCGTATTCTTTGGTGAATTTGGTAGGTACATATTTTTTTAATATCTCTCACTTTTTCCCCTTTTGGGACTTTTTTTTTAATATTAAAAGTGTCTTTTCAATGTGGTGTTTTTTATATATTATGTGAGGGGTCTTTTCTTTTTTTTCCCTGTGCTTTTTTTTTTTTTTATTTTTTTTTTTATTTTTTTTTTTTTGTTTTTTTCTGCTGCTATTGTTGTTGATGTTGTCTTATTTTTTTTTTTTTTTCGTAGTTTCTTCTGAAGAGAGCGATATGTCTCTCGAAACGTCATGAGTTGTAAATCGACGACGTGGCAACCTGCCCAGAAATCATTCAACCGATATGGTATAATGTTTATTCCATTATTACTTTTTTCTTTTAACTACTCTGAGAACATGGATCATTGTTGGCTAAAATATTAAAAGACGATGTAATAATAGAATAAACATCATACAATATGTCTATCTATGGAACAATTATTTTCGAGGCAATTTTTCATTTTCTGAGGAGTGTTTCTCCAAAAATTTATTTGGATGGCAATGATTATTCTGAGCTTTTGATGACTACATTGCATTGTACTGTTCATATCATCACAAACATAGAGAAAAATGCAGTAAAATTCTTGTATGATAAAGCAAGATTCAAATTTTCGGATCATAAAATTTATATTCAGAAAAGGTTTGTCTGAAGAATTACAATGAACTGGTAATGGGTTTAATATTTGGACAGTTTTTCAAAATATTACTTAATACGTTACGGACAAATTTATCACAAATTCAATTGAAAAATAACACAAAATTCTAAAGACTACATTTATTTATATCTTGTGAATAAAGTAAACATATCTGAAAATCTTCAAGCTTCATTCTAATAAATATTATCGGGGCCATACCGTTTATTAGGATATAATTTCTAACCCACAAAGAGAACTTTCGTGATAAAAAAATTGAATGAAATTTATGAAATAAGTAATTGAGTCCCACCCTGGAATCTCGAAAAAGGTTGGATGTATATGTGCAAAATATATATTTTTTTTTTCATAAATTAACTGATTAGTTTTTTGTTTTAGCAAAAATGTTCGTTTATCTTAAAATTACAGTTTATGACTTTTGAAAAGAGGGTTTTAGTATCAAAATATAAATTTACATGGGTATAACTACGAAAGAAACATAGTTTTGTGAAAAATAAAAAAAATATTTTGCAATCCACGAAAGTTATGGGCCTAAAAATCATCTCCTACAAAAAGGTCTCATGCTTCGTTACGAAAAAAGATCACTTCACTTTTCACGAGCCTCCCCTGACTTCAACATCTTTAAATGTCAGAATCAGAGAACATCAGAACTAGACTAGAAAGTGAGAATTTCAAAAATCCAGAATTTACAAGCCTGAGAGACTAAACTGTTATATTATTCTATGGAATAATACAAAATTTTTTGGAAAAAAATTAAAAAGCTTCAAATCATCCCTTAAAATTTGATGATGGTTGAATATGATGTCTTATATTTGTATGGAGTGTATTTCTATGAACGAGATAAACGAAACAAAAAAAATTTCACATTTTGTTTTAAGTGAATTTGAATTTTGAGTTTTTCGAAACTTACTACGAATGATCTACCTACTTTCTGGTTGGGCAATTTGTAAAATCAACCCGTTGACTGTTCCTTTTGGCACAAGGGGTATTTGTTTAAAAAATATTTTTTTCAGTCTGATAGAAATACAACTAAATAAAAACAGAAAATGTCACAAATACATAATTATAGAAAATGACTGCATATATTGTATTTAAAACAAAACAATCCTAGTAATTTTTTTGTGAAAAATATACAGACTCAATGTCAAAAGTTTCATATAAATATAAATTTGGTTTAAATAATTACATGTCTTGCAGTAAGAAGAATTACTATATTTTTTTAATTTTAATGTTCTACGTTCTTTTGTTTTTGAAATGTAGTATTTTATTCTATAGCATATGTTTCAGAAGCGTCTAAAATTAACATCTTGATGAACGAATTTATTTTAGTTTCATTTAAAAGCATGGTAAATTTTCTGATGACATTCTCATATCAGGAGAGTATCAGCCTTAATGATCTTATTATTAAAATGGATATCATACGTTAATATTTAATAAGGAAGCTCATTCAGCGACCTTTAGTTTCGGCAAAACGTGAAACAAACCACTAATCACCACAATTAAACAGACAATTGATGCGAAAACAATAGCACTAACCTTGAGAAACATCTTACGGGATACGTGGTCAGTACCAACTACGACTACTTCGACTTAGGCAAATACTGGCCAGGAACCCGGTAGCTAGTTTATATAGGTCGGATCTAAGCCATCTTTGACCACTTTGCACGTAGGAGGGATACGGCCCTTATGGCAAAACAGAAAAAAGTGACGAGAGTAATGAGGCTGGCTGTTGTAATGTTTCGAGTTTTTCGCTGCGGCCGATTCAAACTAGTACTGGAGAGACTTCAAGATAATATATTTTATTTTTAAAAAGTACATAAACTTAATATTCCTATTAGACCTGTTGTAAGTTTCGTTAATGCCCCTCGTTGTTTTAAATAAAAAATTACTAGTTCATTTCGTTTAGAAGTGTTAAATTAGCTTGTACTATTAACAATTTAATTGAATTAGTTGTCTGTTCAATGTCCCAATAATGTTTTAATGGTTATGGTTTTATGGTAATGTAAGTACTCATGAATATTCCTAGCAAACGAGCTTTAAAAGTTTTTAAAATTTGAAATGATAAAAATGTTGATTTCTTTTACGTCTTTGTTAAGATTTTTTACCTTTTTTCAATTTTAATAATAAAATTTATAAACATACTACGGGTTTAGCTATGGGCCATTCTCTTCCTTTTCGGACAGAACTCGAACAGATCAACTGATTTCAAATTATCCTTTTCAACATAAAATGTCAGCTATTCAAAATTACGTTCAAAGATTGTTAAATATACCTATAAATCAAAACAATTTTGATAATGAGATTAGCAGTTTGCAATAATCTTGTATTAATAAAAGTTTATTTCGGAATATTGTCCATAAGACGATGAAAAAAAAATTGTATAATAAACATTGAAATCTGGACTACAATTTGGAAATTATTAATTTCACTTTCGTTTAAAGTCATACCATCTATTAAGGGAGGAAATAGATTTAGAAGCCACAAATTTTCATCATTTTCGGGAATTTTTTTGGATAGAAAAAAAAGGGGTATTATTTTTTTAACTTTGGGGTTTTTTAATAATATATAAAAGATTAAACACGGATTTTTTTAAAGTACCTACTGTTTTGTATAGTACGAGGGTGGTCTGAAAAGTTTCCGACCTAACAAAGATACAAGATATTTTTTCAGATTTTTTTTTTAATTTTTCAACATAGTCTCCTTATAACTCTACACACTTCTCCCAGCGATGCTCCCATCTCTGTAACCCGTCCAAATAGTACTCGGCGTTTTTCTCTGCAAAATAATTGTTCACCAAAGGGAACAAAAAGAAGTCGCTTGGGGCTAGATCTGGTGAGTAAGGCGGATGGTCAAGTAGTTCAAACCGTAATTCGTGGATTTTCGCCATGGCAGCCGCTGAGGTGTGAGACGGTGCGTTGTCTTGGTGAAACAGGATTTTCTTTTTCTGCAAATGTGGCCGTTTTTCCGCAAGTTCTGTCTTCAGCTTGTCAAGTAATGATTCGTAGTATGATCCTGTAATGGTTTTTCCTTTTTGAAGATAATCGATTAAAATGACTATCCCAAAAAACAGTCGCCATCACTTCCCCAGCCGAAAAAACAGTTTTTGTTTTTTTCGGAGCCGGTTCCCCCGTTGCAGTCCACTGTTTGGACTGTATTTTTGTTTCGGGCGTATAATAGTGTATCCAAGTTTCATCTACAGTACTTAATCGGCGCCAAAACTCGGATTTATTGCGCCTAAACTGCGCCAACAGAACGTTGGAAATGTTCATTCGAACACGTTTTTGGTCTAACGTGAGCAAACGCGGCACCCAACGCGCGGACAGCTTTCTCATGTTTAAATGTTGATTTAATATGTGACAAACACGTTCTTTTGACATGTTCATAACCTCTGCTATCTCTCTCACTTTAATTCGGCGGTCGTCTAGCACCATTTGGTGAACTTTGGCGATGTTTTCGTCGGTAGTTGCAGTTTTTGGACGTCCCGAACGTTCATCGTCTCCCAAACTCCGTAGTTTTTTTGCCTTCTGATCACGAATCCGGTATCAGAATTGAGCTAACACATCACAGGAATTTCCTAACCTCAAAAAACAGGTCAAAAATAGCTAACATTCACGAAAAAGTGCTAGGAAAAATACATTGATGTTTCTTTTTCTAACCTCAAAAAAAAAACGGGTTAATAAAGGTCAGATATTTATAACGCATTTTCAAAAAATAACAGATTCGCGCCAAATTTGGTATACAGGGGTTTTCGGGGTTGCTGATCACAGATCCAAGGTCAATTCGATATGGCGGACCCAGGATGGCCAACCAAATTTTCAAAAAATAACACATTCGCGCCAAATTTGGTATAAAAGTGTTCGGGATCGCTGATTACGAATTCGAGGTCAGAATTGCGAAATTCACTTTGTAATATATTTGTTTACTCTATCATGTTCCTTCTATTTTTCGGTTATAGTTTGTTCTCTTTTCTGGAAAAGATCTATTCACGAGTTTTCTGCCTAATCTCAGGTAAAAAAGTACATAGGTAATTGTTAAATTTTTAATAACGAATTTTGTAAATCTGATCTTGGATTAGTGACCCCAAAAACCTCCGTGTACCAAATATGGCGCGAATGTGTTATTTTTTGAAAATTTGGTTGGCCATCTTGGATCCGCCATCTTGAATTTTGCAAAATTGACCTCTGATCCGTGATCAGCGACCCCAAAAAACCCTCATATACCAAATTTGGCGCGAATCTATTATTTTTTGAAAATTCGTGATATCTGATCTTAATTGACCCGTTTGAGGTTAGAAAAAGAACCATCATTTCTGACCGCAGATTCACGTTCAGCGGGGTCTTAGCCATATAAATGAAGATTTGAATAAACAAAATTTTTTTTTTTGTATTTTTCCTAGCACTTTTTTCTGAATTTGTGCTATTTTTGAAATGTTTTTTGAGGTTAGGAAATTCCTGTGATGTGATAGCTCAATTCTGACACCGGATTCGTGATCAGGAGGCAAAATACTACAGATAACATATATCGCATGAAAAGTACAGACAGCTTTTTTTTTGTATATGGCTGTTATTATTATCAAAAAAAATGTATACAGGGTGTTCGTAAATAAGTGTCGCAACGGAAAACTGTAAATTCCTCTAGAAAAAAGAAACATATTTTTCCTCTTTCATTTTTCTCTCCAGGCTTTCGTTTTCGAGATACAGGGTGTCAAAACTTTAATTTTTTTTTTAGTTTTTCGCCAATATCGTAGGAATCGTTTGAACTACAGGACTGAGCTTTTGTACACACATTACCACTATTAATAGCTATACTTTTTCGCACCCTTCTCGAATTAATTGGACGTGCCAGTGGTGGAGATTTTAAGGTATCGTAAGGGTTTTTCCCCCCCTAAATTTTACGCCACTGGAAAAATTGACTTTTGACAGCAAATTCTAAAGCGCCAATGAATTTTACACAATAAGAGTTCTCTTGGTTCATTGCTCTAAAGTCAACCGTTTTCAAGAAAAATGACTTTTTATGAACAAAAGCAAACATTTTGCTAACGTTTCGAAAATCTTTTGTAATTCAAAAAATAGGTAGTAATAATTAACAATTTTAACGAAATTTAACAACAGATAGGATTTTAACTTTTTTTTATCAATTTGGCGAGTAAAATTTACAGAAACTGTTCAAAATTACGTCCGTTGGCTTGAATGCACGCATTACATCTTCTAATCATGTTTCTTTCTGCCGCTGCGGCTTCACCTCTATCGGTCAACTTTTCGATAGTATTGACATGGAACGTTAGCAAAAATGTTTGCTTTTGTTCATAAAAAGTCATTTTTCTTGAAAACGGTTGACTTTAGAGCAATGAACCAAGAGAACTCTTATTGTGTAAAATTCATTGGCGCTTTAGAATTTGCTGTCAAAAGTCAATTTTTCCAGTGGCGTAAAATTTAGGGGGGGAAAAACCCTTACGATACCTTAAAATCTCCACCACTGGCACGTCCAATGAATTCGAGAAGGGTGCGAAAAAGTAGCTATTAATAGTGGTAATGTGTGTACAAAAGCTCAGTCCTGTAGTTCAAACGATTCCTAAGATATTGGCGAAAAACTAAAAAAAAATTAAAGTTTTGACACCGTGTATCTCGAAAACGAAAGCCCGGAGAGAAAAATGGAAGAGGAAAAAAATGATTCGTTTTTCAAGAGGAATTTACAGTTTTCCGTTGCGACACTTATTTAGGAACACCCTGTATACTATAATAAGTTCCATTCCCATTTTTCTTTCATTGATATTATTTAAAAAAACGTAGGACATTTCATAATGATTATACATATATCTGACGAGCCCATAGAAGCGAATCAAACGAATAATGTAAATAAAATAAAAAGATAATTAGGCAATTGTTGACATTTTCATGGACACCTTTTGTTCATTCACACAGTGATTGACGAATTTTAATATAAAACAAACCACAGTTTCCGCAATATTTTCAACTACCGAAGTTATATCATATAGTATAAATTATATATAATGCAATACGATGGAATTTAATCTGTTTTGCATATAAATTAGCAGTAATGAATGGATGTACGGAGTATATTTTGTGCCAAAATATCACAAAACGCATTCCCAAATAAAAGAACTGGTGCTATCTCCGCAAAATTTTATGATTTATACGCCTTTTAAATAAATAACTACATTTGTGGTTCAAAATTACATGTTTCCAGCATTTTGGGCAGAGAGGTATTTTGTGTGTAACAAAAAGCATAGCCATGATTTATGTTTATATCGACATTTATGGTATACATTTAAAAAAAAACCTGTTGAAATATAGCTTTTGTGTTTAAACACGAAGTCACAACATTACCTATTATTTACAATTCAGAGAATTTTTTTGCCGCATTTAAGTTTGCAGAGAAAAAAAAGTTAACGAAATAAACAAGTAGAGTTTTTTCACATTTTATTTTAAGCGAAGTCAATATTATTGTTTTTAATTCCTGCTATTGTTACAAATAATCACAGACCAACAAAATTTAACTTTTTTTTGGAAGCAGAAACTTGAATCTATATTCCGAAGGATTTAGGTGTGCTGAATCCGAATCTGGCAGCAGAATTGCTCTATCACGTCAGGTTTTTGAGATATCCTAACCTAAAAGTGCAAAATACACTGTTTTTCGTCACATTTGAGGTTATGTAGTAATGTCATCTATTCTTTTTCAAAAAACTAATACATTGAATCCAAAAGTACCCTCCTTCGAATGCCGTTGAGTTTGCTCAAATATCTTTTTTTTTTTTGTTGAGATATCACATGTTGAAATTTTTAAGCTTCTCAGTTTCTTAATATGCGAAAATCCACTAAGGATCCCTTAGACATCAAGCACTTGATTGCAATTCAGAAACTTCATACCCATACGGTTTGTGGGTTTGGAGTTGGTGGGCTTGGGGTTTGTAAGCTTGGAGTTTGTAGGTTCGGGTTTTGTGGGATTGGGGTTTGTGGGTTTAGGGATTTGGAGTTTGTTAGTTTGAGTTCGTATGTATTGAAGGTTTCTGAGTATGAAGTTTCTGAACTGCAATCAACTGTTTGACATCTAAGGGATCCTTAGTAGATTTTCGCATATTACGAAACTGATAAACTTAGAAATTTCATCATGTGATATCTCAACGAAAACAAAGATATTTGAGCAAACTCAACGGCATTCCAAAGAGAGAGCCTTGTATTTTTAAATTATATGTATTTTTTTTGAAAAATAATAGATGGCATTACTACATAACCTCAAATATGACGAAAAACAGTGTTTTTTGCACTTTTAGGTTAGGATATCTCAAAAACCTGACGTGATAGAGCAATTATGCGGCCATATTCGGATTCAGCGCACCAAAATCCTTCGGGAATGCATATTAGTGTGTCTGCTTCTTGACCCTTGTTCACCTGTGTATCAGTGTCTATGTTTCTTAGTAGTTCTTTTATTAAAAAAAAAATTACAAATCTAACCTCGTAATCTGCTGGTACTAATGCTTGAACACTTTGTATTTGTGGGATACATTTGAATCCTGTATAATATGGCCATACTGTTGATTGGGATACCCCAAACACTTGTGGAACACAGCTTTTGACAAACTTTTAACCTGAAAACATACAGGGCGAAACTGCTATTGCATAAACCTAGGCCATTTTAAACACTGGTAGGACTGATGTAAACAATAAACCTCAGTAATAAGAGCACTACGAAAATCACAGTAATACTAAATCTGCTACCTGAAACGATATATGGAAAAAAAAGAAAAGCCAAAGAAATTTGTATGTTAAAGTGTGTATAATTTTTTTTTTTATTATTAAAATCTTAGCTGAGCGCTTTCGACTACATAGTCATCATCGGAGCTATTCCTAAAATATCAACAAGAGGTTGAAATGACATTATATAAAGCAAAAAATTTTTACTTACGTTAAATTTTAGATACCAAAAAATATTTAGGAAACGTTGAAAATCTTAATAAGTTTGACTTAACACGTGGAGTGAAATAAAGTGAGGTTATTTCACTCCACGTGTTCGACATNGTTTTCACTTAGTTGGTAATCCTTAGAATTGTAGAATGTCAATTTTCAATTTCATTTAACATTTAACCTCACTTTATTTCACTCCACGTGTTCGACATTGTTAGTCAATTTCTGTTTCTTTCTCTTGTTATTTACCAGTAATTGATGTTATATTTAATGTTGTATATTGTTATGTCGAACTTATTAAGATTTTCAACGTTTCCTAAATATTTTTTTGTATCTAAAATTTAACGTAAGTAAAAATTTTTTGCTTTATATAATGTCATTTCAACCTCTTGTTGATATTTTAGGAATAGCTCCGATGATGACTATGTAGTCGAAAGCGCTCAGCTAAGATTTTAATAAAAAAAATAAATAAAATTATACACACTTTAACATACAAATTTCTTTGGCTTTTCTTTTAATCACCGAAGTGTGTACTCAAGATACAGTCGTTATTTTTTAAGATATATGGAAAGACTTAAAATGCATTTTAATAAGTACAATATAGTTGTCCAGCTACGTAGTACTGTCAGATACAACAATTTCAAAAATTTGTTTGTCGAAATTCGTAAATATTTTATTATAACTTTTTTGGTGATATCGATCCTATTTTTAATGGCCACAAAGTTGTCCGTATAATTTGCTCTGTATATGCTTTTGAAATTCATCAGAAAAAAAAAATTGATACTTCGATAAATCATATGGAACATTTATACTCAAAGTTTGCAAAAATAAAAAATATAACTGAAATATTAAGATCTTGTGAATAAGAAAAACACGCAAGCCATACGAAAAGCAGGGGCTTACCTTCACTTTTTTTAATACAACTACAAAAACGATAAATTTGATTATCAAAAATAATACGATTAGGTTTTTTTTTCGACGCATTAGTATTGTTATCAACAGGTAGTGAAATTCGTCGTCCGTTACGAAACGTCGATCGCAAATAGCTTACATAAAGATGGCCAAAATGTTGCCGACATCCTTTTGGGGAAAAAATGGTGCAATTACGAACGGGCCAATTGATATTCGAGCGCTGTCCCTATTGGAAAGTTAAGACCCTATAAAAGTCTAAGCGTAACCGGGTTCTGGTATCAGTCGATCTACATTGACATCCTCTAACGCTCAGCCATGGCATTCAAGGTAGGTGCGAAAAAATGTGCAGAGATAACGTAAATCTTCTTTATTACAACACAGTTAAAGTGTCAGGATAGTAACGTTTGCAGCAGTGCCAGTGATAAAGATAAGAGTTGCCGGTGTGTGTCGTACTAAGTGTACTCCGAGGAACAGGATTCATTTTTGTTGTAGCAGGAAGGGAAGTCGGTAGTAGATACGGGGTTGCGCGAAATGTTCTTAATTTAAGGAGCTGCCTCAGGGTCGTTGACTTATTATTTTTTGGTGTCGAAAAGTCTTTTCGAAAGAATTAATGAACAAACAATTTAACATTTCTAATTTTCAGTGTTCAAAGCCTCAAAATTTCAATTTTTAACAAAACAATATCGAAAAAACATTGTGCAGACTTTCCTAAACTTCAGTCCTTCAAAAAAATTTGCTCACAGCAAAATATATCCTATTTTCAGTTCAGAATAAAACGTATGTTGTCTCTTTTCAGTTGGTGATATTAGCTGCGATAGTAGCCGTATTCAGGGGCGGAGTAGTAGGGGCATCAGTAGTGGCAGCACCTCCAGCGGTATTGGCGAAAATCTCCGACGCTACGATAGACCCAAATCCACAATACTCCTTCGCCTACGACGTCCAGGATGCACTTACGGGCGACTCTAAATCCCAGGTGGAGAGCCGCGCCAACGGCGTTGTCAGAGGGCAGTACTCACTCGCAGACCCAGACGGTACAAGGAGAATCGTCGACTACTACGCTGATCCCATCCACGGCTTCAACGCTGTAGTCAGGAAGGCGCCCCAAGCCGTAGTAGCCCCTGTAGTCGCCAAGGCTGCGCCTGTAGTAGCCGCACCTGTTGCGCCAGTGGTAGCTAGAGCTGCACCTGTGATTGCGCCAGCGCCAGTGGCAGCACCTGCACCTTGGCTTACCAGAGCTGTGGCTGCGCCTCTCTTGTCCAGAGCTGTTGCCCCAGGATTTGCCCCACTAGCCGCCCCGGCCCCGTTAGGTGTTGCCCCAGGATATGCCCCACTAGCCGCCCCGGCCCCGTTAGGTGTTGCCCCAGGATATGCCCCACTAGCCGCCCCGGCCCCGTTAGGTGTTGCCCCAGGATATGCCCCACTAGCCGCCCCGGCCCCGTTAGCTGTTGCCCCAGGATATGCCCCACTAGCCGCCCCGGCCCCGTTAGCTGTTGCACCAGGATTTGCCCGAGTAGCTGCTCCCCTAGCAGCGGCGCCACCTCTCGCGAGAGTGGCTTCGCCATATGCTTATTGGTAGATCCCATTGACTGATACAATGTAGTGTAGCCATTTTTTTGTACTGTAAATAATGATGTTGTAAATAATAACCAATAGCTCAATATTTAATAAAATATGCAATTCCTTTATGGTTTCTTTCAATATAACCCATAGCAAAATATTCTCTAAAGAGTTAAGTAAGAAACTTTTTTACATACTTGTGCCGTTAACTATTGAAGAAGTGAAAGCACCAAAACGCCTACTGATTTTTAAATAGCAACAAATGTATTCAATAACGGTTATGGCATAAATGCGTAACCAATTTTTAATTTCTCGCACGTGTTTAATATGTAATTAGAATGCATTTTATTTAACTTCGATTATCATTCATATAAAGAAAAAAAGAAACTACTATAGTATGTCTACATGCTTTTCTTTTTCCTTTTTAGTTAAATATTTTTTATTACATAACAAACTTAAACATCGGGCCTAATATGGTACCTTGAGGCACCCCAAAATACACAAAAATTTTAGAAACAAGAACTGTTCATGTTAGCTACAGTAATAACATCTTTCACACTGTATTTGTTCTATTATTATCATACTAATAATAATACTTGCTCATGATTCCAGCAACTATATACAAGAGAACCATTCTTTTAATAAATTATACGTATTGCATGGAAAAGGCTCCATTCAACGCAAAAGCTCCATTAATCAAAAAATTATGCTGTCAAAAAATAGCTGGTTGTGGATATTTTCTCTATACTGTTATTATTTTAGTCGTTTGGAAATATAGGGCTTCTGCCCCTTAACAAAAATTGGGGTAAATGTAATGCCGATAACATCTAGCAAATGGTAATAAAATTAACTCTCAAAGAAGTTTTTATGGCATGAAAATGTAGAGGCCTCCAGAAAAGATAAATTAGTAATTAGATAAAGTAGTATTATTACCTTGTTAATTACTATTCCGTATCTTGAAAACTACGCCCAGAAAACTATTTTCTTCGGTTAAAGGTAAAAGAAATGGATTGTAAGGATTGTTCACTCAAACTCTTACTGATTTATAACATTTCGTACCTCCTAAGATTTTCTTTAATTATTGTTTTATATGTTTTCAGACTATTTTAACCCTTAGAACTCAACGCAAGTCGCTCAAAACGTAAGTTATTAATATTTAAAACTCCTACAATAAACCCATTAATAGAAAAATTGCCAAGGGATGCAATTTGAGAAATACGAAATTTCCTTTGATTTTTTCCCCAAATTTCTTTTGATGTCACCTCACGAAATAATTATAATAATGCTTCAAAATATCCAAAATAAAATTGTCAGCTTTAGAATCTTTAAAAAAAATCTATCAAAATGACTTTAAATATGTAAATCGATATTAATCGTTTTAAAGTCCGAAAGTTTCAAATAATTTATACAAATTTTATTAAAAAAACAACGACAAATTACCATATAATCACAAAAAAAAATAAAAGAAAAGCATCCATCCAAAATACATAAAAATTTGTCGAATCAGCTTTAAAATCTTCATCAAAATATGTCAAAATAAACCGTAATAACTTCAAAAAATAACTAAAGTGAATCAAAACAGTTTTAAAATACAGAATACATTCAAAATGCTTTAAAATATTTCAAATCAGTTGTCAAATACTGTAAGCTGTCAAATAGAAGAATAGAACCCTTCAAATTTGGTGTTAAATACATTAAAATGGATTAAAATGTTTTAGAAAATAAATAAAAAACCCAAAATGCAATGACATAGCACTTTAAGTACATCAGTAAAATGCCTGGTCAAAAACCAGTAGAAAGCTTAAACATTTTTCAAAATAGTTACTTGATATTTCTAACACCATTTTCATGTATTTTGAAGTTTTTTTATAATTTGAAGGTGTTTTCCAAAGCCATTTTTATGCATTCTGGGGCCATTATGATGTACTTTGACTCATTCTATAACTATTTTGAATCTGATTCGATAAATTTTGAAGTATCGAGAGGACAACACATTATTTGGTATCAATCTCTCACATTAAGCCAAACCAAGTTTTCTCCATCGCACTATGAGCGGTGTAACCTAAGTATGTTAAAATATAAGTGGGGTATTCCTGAGTCAATTATAAGAAAAAAAGTTTATATCTATAAACCTTTGTCCGGAAATGTTTCGTTTCTGAGATACAGCTGGGGTGTTGAAATTAAAATGAAATAAAATCATTATTACAAAGGCTTCCCACTGATTAAGTGTGACATAACAAATTTTTATTTGGATACGCAGTAAACAAGCGTATAGCCTACTTTTGAACATAAAATTCTCAACAACTTCATTTAACGCCCAAGGGACTTTGCAGAAATTTGCAAATTTCTCGAAAACGGTGGCTTCTAGCGTTGTAAGGAAGTGTACCTTTTTTGCTTAAAAAAGGTGTAGGAATATGGTTTATTCATAAAAAGTCTTCTGTCAAAAAAGTTATGGCAAAGTAAAATTAATAATAATGCTGCACAAAAATTAATATAAATCATGATTTCTCAGCTCAAAAAACCCTCGGTTACCAAATTTTGTGCGAAAAATTTATCTTTCGTAAAAGTTATTTAAGAAAATCGAAAATAAAATTTTGATTTCAACACCCTGTATCTCAGAAACGAAGCATTTCCGGACAAAGGTTTATTAGATTTTTTTTTTTGGATTTACTTCGGGATTCCTCCCTTTAATTTTTTTAACGTACTTAGGTTACACCCTGTAAAAATTTTTAGTTAAATCAGAGAGGCTGACACATTTGACACTATTTGAGACATAATGCAATTAAAGATTTCGTGAAAAATTACAAAAATTTGTCAAAAACAACCAGTGAGAATTATTATTTAAACAGTTCAACATTTTGCATGAAAGACAATTTGATTCATCTTGTATCTGTTTTTATTTTCACAAAATAAACTATTATACACCTGCAACATCATAGCTTCTATGAATATTGCAGCAGAATACTAAACTAAAGATGTTACGGACACATAGAACACTATCGTTTGGAAAGAGAGGCTATAAACGATGCATTTTAATGCATTGTTCTGTAAAAATGAAGCCTGGCTGTATTTCGTTTTACTAATGGTCGAGACGCTGACATTTTTCAAACGCGCGACGAGGAATGCTTGCCTTGAGCCTAAATTCACTCTTTCAGAAGAAAGAGTCGGCCATCTTATCACCTAATCAGTTTTCACGTGCTGACTGCGGCACCCAACTGAAATACTAATGATCCCTTAACGCGCATCAGATTGCAGCAGAGTTTGAAGAAAACGTCGCCAACAATTAAATAATATGATGTCAAGTACGAGGCTTAACCCAAAAAAATACACTTTGAGATGGCTAGGGGGTTGCAACATTAATTAGTATTCCATCGCGATTGAATATTAGTTATGAAACGGACGAAGTCTGTATATAAAGGGGGATCATCTCTGGAGAGTTATCAGTCGATCTCCAGTGATCAAAGAAGATAACCAGAATGGCTTACATGGTAGGTTGTAGTGAATAATAGTAAGGTTTTTTGGGAGTGCTACAAATTGTGCAGTTCTCAAGTGATATATATCTTATAACTACTCTTTATAAACAGTGATTGGTTTAAACAAAAATGTGTGAGCAAAACTTAAAAGTATTTTAATATTTTTTTTTAATTTTGATATTGATACAATTTCACGTTTTGCAGTTCTTGATTCTATCCGCCGTGTCAATCGCCGTCAAAGGTGGGGTAGTTCCAGCCGCTCCAGTCGCAGTTGGCGCCCCTGTAGTAGCCGCCCCAGTCTTAGCCAAGGTCTCTGACGCCACCGTCGACCTCGCCCCTCAATACTCCTTCGGCTACGACGTCCAAGACGCTCTGACGGGCGACTCCAAGAGCCAGATCGAAACCCGCAACGGAGACATCGTCAGAGGTCAATACAGCCTGAACGATCCTGATGGCACTCGTCGTATCGTGGATTACACTGCTGACCCCGTCAACGGCTTCAACGCTGTTGTCAGGAAGGCTCCTTTACTAGCTGCGCCAGCTGTACCAGTTGCACCAGCCGCAGCTGTACCAGCTGTGGAACCTCTGGCAGAACCTGTGGACGTGGAGGTCGTAGCAGCCGCTCCTGCCAAGTCCGTAGCTGCGCCGTTGGTAGCCAAGGCTATAGCTGCTCCTTTGGTAGCTAGACCCGCTCCTGCTGTTGCTGCTGAGCCAAGGCTATAGCTGCTCCTTTGGTAGCTAGACCCGCTCCTGCTGTTGCTGCTGCTGCTGCTCGCGTAGCTGCCCCTCTGGTAGCTGCCCCCGCTGCCCCTGTGGTTGCAGCTGGACGTCTCGTGGCTGCTCCTGCCTTAGCTTACTCTTATACCAGTTTTGCTTCACCTTTCGCCGCTTACACTGTGTTCTAAGTTTGTGATTCGTCACATGTACATAATGTAAATAAAATGAGCTATCAGAAATACTGGTGCATTTTTTAATAGTACCAACATTAATTCCAATTATTCGGATATTACGTAATAAGGTAAATACCGCAAATTTTCGCAGGATCAATTCAATGATTTTCTTTCTCTTTAATTTGCTTTAAAATTTATCTTATCGATATAGTATTGTTACTGACAGTAATTTGTATTTCCAACTTTTGTCAAGCTTTGCAGTCTTCTGTGGCTTTCTTCTTTATTTATTATTCCTTCAGAAATATGTCAATGTAGAGACCTTTACTAGGTGCGACGGTAGCCGAACTGTCAAGGCCTGACCACTGAGCTAAGGCAAGGGCAAGCTGGTATTACCGTAGTGGGTTCGAGACCAGCACGCGGTGGAAAAATTTGAAATAATTTTTCTCTCGTACCTATGGATGCTTCTGTTTGTTAAGGTGGATGGTAGTGTAGGTTAGTAGATAAAAAGGGCTAAGCATGGCCTAATTGCTTGTAAGTCTCATTATAAGGTACTATATTTTCAAGGTAGGCAAATATTCATTCGAGGTTTACCATGGTAAATTCAAATATTAAATTATTGTAGAAAGGCCACAAGAGTCCACAGTAAATGCTCCAAGAAAGTTCGAAATAAGCCTTAATAATAATAATAATTAACCGGTCTAGTAACGTATACTTTGCATTTTAAGTATCCCCACAAGAAATAATCTAGGGCTGTCAAATCAGGCGATCTGGCTGGCCACTCAATCGGCCCCCTTCTCCCTATCCAACGATTCGGGAACAGCTCATCTAAATAAGCACGGACAGGTGTTGCATAATGGGGAGGTGCATCATCTTGTTGAAAGAAAATGTCAATGTTAATTTAGAAGATTTAAAAGCAAGAATTCGTCACGAGATACATCGTATACCTCCTGAAGTTATTGATAATGTCCAAAAAGAATTTATTAATCGTCTTGGCTACTGTCAGGCAGCCAACGGTGCACAATTTGAACATTTAATTTAGTTGATTTTTACATAATCATTATCATTTTCAGTATTGTGCAAATTAAATTTTAAAATCTTCAAACTTTATTTTCTTGAAATTTTTGTTATGTAAAACCATAATTTTTCATGATCTGTGTATATAGAATGGCTCTTTCAAATGGCATGGTCAAAATTGGGGGTTGCTATTTAAAAAAATTGTCGATGACGTCATATATCGAACAACGATGACGTCACAAATATGGGTCGTATGTGAAAAAGTGCCTTTTTTAAAAACAAAATCGACGTGCCAGGGGATTTTTTCGAAAACTTCTCAATTTAAAAAATAATGAATTTATTCGTTACTTTTCGAAAGCACTGTATATTCATTCCATTTAAAAAAAGTATTTTCTTTAGCTTAATGATTTCCATTATTCAATTGTTTTTTCTAATACTGTATTATAAAAATTCATAGAAAAAGCTAAAACTTTTGTATTAAAAACTTTTTTGTAATTTCAATAATAAACTCACAATAAGTTGTCAGATTATAGTGACTAACCCTGTACAATTATCCTGACATTAGGTTTTTTAAGAGAAAATTGGAAAAGTGAAAAACAACTCAATAATATGTTTAGCTCAGTTTTAAATGAGAAAAGGTCAAAGCTCTAGAAAAAAATTGTAAACGCAGAACTTCCAGATAAAAGATCTTAATAAATATTTACTAATTGAGGAAAATATTATCTTTTATTTTATTTTTCATTGCCCACTGAGCAAATACTGAACATCACCATTTACATTAAAAATAACGTAGAAAAACTCGTACCTAAGTCATAGTTTGGAACATTTATTTTCATTCGAATAATAGCTTGTACAGAATCTTCATAAAAGATTACAAGCCACTTGATCGCCGAGCATAGGCAACCAACATGGCACGACTGCTATTGTCAACTAAAAATCCCTAAATCTCAAAGTCACCAATAATAATGATTCGTTTACAATGAACAATGACAAACCGTTACTTCTACGCTGGAGATAATGCGATCGCTGATTGGTTGAATAAAGTCTCGTGAAAAATTACACCAATCACCAATCTTAATGTTGTTCTAATAATTTTTAATTTTACAGAAATATAATTGCCAACGTAAAGGAAATAAAATTCCTGTTTCAAACAAAATTACTGGTCACGTGGCTTGTAGTCATTTATGAGGCTCTGTATTATATATAAACAAAAATAAAACTCTTGTCTAATTTTCTTTATTTATTGAACAAACAATACATCTATCACAGCTTCACCATACATTGTAAGCAACGGGGGCTAAAATCTCTCCATAATTCAAACCAGAGTACGCCACTGGAGCCGCAGCTACGGCAGGGGCGGCGGTCAGTTGGCCACTCTTGACCAACGGAGCAGGTGCGGGTGACTCAGATTTTAAAGCGGCAGATCTGGACTCGGCACTTTCTCTTAGCGACGCTGATGACACAGTTATCCTAGCACTAGGTCCTGCAGCGGGCTGGCTTTGTGGAGAGGAAGAAGTTTGAGGAACAGGAGATGCTGGAACAGATCGAAGTTGTGGCAAAGACTGCTGTGAATCGGAAGAAGGTGGGGGACTAGGAGAAACCTGTGGGCTTGAGCGCACTATGCCAAAGAAGAATGGAGCAGAATTAAGAGGTGATGGAGTAGAGGAATCTGAAGGTGCAGGTGATGGTTGATTGGATCGGGCTAGTGGAGCTGAAGGCGATACATCGGAAGGTAAAGGACTAGGTGAAGGCGATGGAGCAGATCGGTGAAGTGGACCAGGAGCGGGTAAAGCTTCGGTTATTTTCCCAGCTTCAGCTGGTGCAGATGCGGGCAAAGTTCTCGCCGCCACCACAGAAGGAGGCAATTCCGCAAATCGTGCAGGTGCTGGCAAGGCTCTAGCCACCAAGGAGCCAGTCGGTAGCGCTGCAATCGCTGCTCTAGCCGCTAACAACGGAGCAGACACTGCAGCAAAGGGTGCAGATGCTGGCAATGCTCTAGCTGCCAACAACGGGCTAGGCAGTGCTGGTAAAGCTCTAGCCACCAAAGGAGCAGCCACAGCTCTAACTGCTACAGGTTCTACTGCAGGTGCCACTGCAGCTGGGGCTACAACGGGGGTAGCGAGAGCCAATGGAGCTTTTCTGACTACAGCATTGAATCCGTTGATCGAGTCTGACGTATAATCTACGATTCTCCGTGTTCCGTCTGGATCGTTGAGACTGTATTGACCCAAAACTACGTCTCCATTGCGGGTTTCAATTTGGCTCTTTGAATCTCCCGTCAAGGCGTCTTGAACGTCGTATCCGAAGTAGTATTGGGGAACAGGGTCGTAGGTGGAGTCAGAGATGGCAGCAGCCGCCACAGGTAGGCTAGGTTTCCCTCTGACTATCGAGACCAGAGCAGCAAGGAAGAAGAAGAACTGAAACAGAATATAGCAGTCTCTTAATAAAGCAAAGAACAGAAAACAAATCGATGGGATTTGTGCGTAAAATGCTTTTTACAACACTTATTACGTAGTATACTATAATAACATCAACACAAATAATTGAAATTAGAAATATTTTTACTATTTTGGTCCTGCTGTTGCTTTAGGTTTCTAGTAAGTATATTGAAGACAAAGTATCGAGGTTGTTATATTACAATTACAACTTACTTTTTTAGCTTTTGTTAGCTTAAACTTGTTACATATATTAATGACGAGGCTCAGATTTAGATTAATAGTTATGATCTGTCCAACGATAAGTTCGTACAAGTACAAAGCTCTCGACTTACTCTACTACGTTCCTAGCTTGTAACTCACCTTGAGTGCCATCTTGCTACAATTTGTCAATGTAGATCAACTGATACTGTCCTAGGAGTGCACCTGCTATATATAGTTAAACCCTGCATTTCACAATCAATATTTACCGTCCCCATAGAATACCAAACGCAAAAGTAGCACACCCGAAAAATAACGAATAAAAATGTAATTCTGTTTTTCGTACTTGTTATACATATTCAATCAATCAATTGCACATTTATGTCTTAAATAATACCCCGTAATGTCGCTCGAGCAATTCAAGTCGTTTCTGCAATTTAAGGTTCCCATTGCACATAACTGAATACATTCATGAGATTAGTCAGTTTTAGTTTTTATGTAACAGATTATGACACTTCGGGTCTTTGCACCAAAGCAGTTCATTGGACTTATTTCAACAAAAAACTTATTACTACAATGAACCTGGTTAAATAGCAAAGTTATGTTGATATTAACGGATAATTTTACGTACAAAATTGATACAGAATACGTATGTTTTCGTAAGCTTTAAATACACATTAAATTTAATTTAAATCGGAGGTACTATTTAATATGTAAAATTATGTACATATTACCATACCTTTGCAGATCCGAATTTTGCAAAAAAATTTCGCTTTAGTAGTTAAATTGAAATATTCTTTATGGTTCTTGTAATAATAACGAAGTCCTAAGTCACTTCTAAATTAGTCATACATCAAAAATCATGTTGGTGACGCAATTATTAACTAAAAGTTAACAGGTATGTGCAACTGTTTGCAATTATAACAGGATACAGAGTGTCCTAATCAAGCTTTAAGCCCTGTGCTTTGAGTCTCGGTTAAAACTTGGTTAATTAATCTCAAGTTTATACTATATTATTTATTATTTATGTTATAAATGTATATAATCGCCTGATTAAGTTAATCAGGTCTTAACCGAGACTCAAAGTACCAGGCCTTAATCTTTTGAATTGATTGCCCGGCATGTTGCATTGCAGTTTTTTATTCCTCATTCGGTGTGAACAATATTTAGTTAAAAAATGTGAAATGCCATCATTTTTGTCGATTAAAAACATTTTCGGACAGAAGAATCGCATCAAATTGTAGTTTTCAGTTAAATTGGACTAGAAACACTAATTTTTTACTAAAAAAGAAAATCCAGATGTTCATATATGCGGTCGTATAAGCCTTTGAGTGATAGTAACCCAATTATTTCAAATGGAACTAATTTTGACACATTTACAAGCAAGACTTAATTGTCCTTTGTAAATATTAGGTTTATGTATTTTAACTCAAGCAGAGGAAGAAATATGCATTTCTGAGATTTCTTGAAATTTTCGCCAAAGAATTATTTCCATTTCTTTACAATTAATGTACCAATTTTGATACATATAGAGGCAAAGTTTGTTTTTTTTTTTTGTAGGCATTAGATTATGGATACTTATTCCCAACAGTTTTAAAGAAAAATGCATTTCTCAAAATTTTTTAATATATTTTTTAAAATTAAACTACAATTTTTCTACATCTAGAAACAAAATTTGATTCTCTTCTGTGAATATCAGGTCACATATGCTTATCTCCAACCGTTTTGAGATATTCGCATTTTTCAAAATTTTCACAAAAAAATTTCGTAGAAGAAACCAGCGTTTTGTTTTCTTTTGTAAACATTAGATCTTGTACATAGATTTTCAACAGTTTTTGAAAAATACGCGTTTTTCAAACTTTTTTATTTTTAAAAAACGTTTCTTCTAAGTTGTCGTATTTTTGAAAAAAATCTTATAAAGAAATCAGATAGATACATTTTCCTCATCATTGTTTAAATGAAATTAACATTATGTAATAATTTGGGGTGTATATTTTTTTTCAGTATTCCATAACAATTTCTAGAAACTTTATAAGCATTTACATAATTACTTAAAAAACAGTAGACAATGTATTAATAGTATTTTATTCTATAGCAACATAAAAAGTGTAATAAAATTAAATACAACATTTTAATTATAATTTGTTGATAGTGTGTGGCATAAATTGTAGTATTTTCTATATACAGGGTAATTCTTAAATATGTAACCAAACGTATCGGCGGAAACTAGAGTTCGGAATTGATTGTTTGAACTTAATTTACTTAGAAACTAAAATGCACCCCTAGTTACAAAACCTTAAAGTTGAAATAAAAAAAGTAAACCTCCTAAATATCTATAGATATTGTTTCAAATTTGCGGATTAATCACACTACGTTTAACATTAATTAATATTAAGTATTTTAAAATAGGCTAAAATTTAAGTTTATTAAAACTATTGACATGCCACACTGATACTAATGTCAAGAAGTATGAATTAAATTTATGAAACAATGGCGAAATTTACTTTTACTGAACAAAAACAAGCTAATGTTATGGAAGGCTCCTGTTAGACAGTATGTGAAAAAATTTCAAAATCTTAGGTGTGCCACACAGACAAATTTTTACGAATATCGGACGTCAATGGAGGAAAAATTGCTTATTTAAATCTAGACATAATGATGCTGGTCGAAGTCGATTGGGACAAATCACAATTATTTTAAATATTGTTGAGAAAAAATCAATAATTTCCGCAAGACAACTGTCTGAGCACCCACAACATGATGATGTATCACAGTTTGTAATTCTAATTTGTTTAACCTTGTACTGTTTTCTGATGGAGCAACTTTTACAAGAATTGGTATTTTTCGAAAACTGTCTTCAAGAGTCGACATTTTCATTAAATTTTCAGTTGACAAAGTGAGTCTTTTTTATCACCTAGCTGCAAAATACTTTTCGTTCTAGAACATAAAACAATTGTCAAAATAATTTATCAGATTTTCGAAACTTTTATGATTTTATTAATGAAACAATATGCATTTTAAGTAATTTCAATACAAAACAGTAACTATTATAAAGAGGACGATTACAATCTATTTTGCACTACATGTAAATTGAAAGTGCCGATATTGTAGTGAGTTAAATTTATGCCAGATCCAGTTCAATGAAGCTGCTGCTGTAATTGTTTCAGTTTACTGCGCACGTTGTATTACTGACAATCTCCGTATGCTGTATGAGTTTTTAGAGATTAATTTGTGAAACAGCACTTTGTGCCGCTTCCAGTACTTCCCCTGGTAAATGCTCGTCTTCACTTTCGGAGCTCATTTTGAATTAAACACTTAGAATATGAATTAAAATATATAATTTTTCAAACAACTAAACCGTCTTGATTTCGAGTTCTAGATACAAAAATAACTATTGTTGTTCGTTTATTTTCAAACAATCAGTGCAACTTAATTTTCTCGTTTAATATCAGGAGAAGAAAGGCTTTTAGTCCAGTCGGCAGAGGCTGAAAAGTTAGTGTTGTGACATTTCCTTGATAACTCAGAAATAACTACACAGGAATACTTTAAAGGATGAGTACAATAACAGTCTAATTTGCTGACAAAGTATTTTATCAGGAAAAAAGTTATTAACAATTTAATATTGAAAATTTTTTTTTTAGTAGTTTTCTTTAAATAACTCAGCGGGTTGACTTTGTACGAAAATATGCTTAGGACATGAGTTGTTCGTAATAAAAATAGTTACAAAATGACGGTGATCCGATTACGAAATTTGCAATAACAATGAGATGCCATGAGATTGAAAAAACGGTATAAAACTTCAATTTTTTAAAGTTGCTGTTAAATTGTCAATTATAAACAAAAAGTGATAAAACTTGCGAAAACTAAAGTTCAATATATATACAATAATGACACTAAAGCCGAAAATCAGGAGAGCAAAACTTTTTGTTCTATAAGGTTTTATACATCCATCGGCATCTAAAACTCGAAACTTTGCCAAATTTGTTGGAAGTTTTGCTGATACTTGAAATTTGGTATACACATAGTGTAAATATGGAGAAACCAAAAGCAATTTGCAAAATTCAATTATCTTCATTTTTGCAGCTTTGGTAAGGTTTTATATATCGCCCTAGTTTTATACGTCGCCGTTTTATTTAATTTTTGGAAAAATATATATGTATATTTATAAAATATTCCATCACGGTAGATTAACCAGCACAATTACCTACAATTAAAAAATTAAATTAATTTTCATCGATTAGATCCTAAGCTACTTAACATTTTGCGCCTGTTAGCCGTAGTCGTTCATTATTCAACATAAAACAAAATCGTACATGTGGGGTAAACCTTTAACTTTTCATTTTCGAGCGCGAGCTCCGCTCTTCGGCGCTTGTATAGTATTAGAAATATGCAACAGTAAATTTAAACAATTGTTTACTTAAAGTTAAAGGTTTACCCCACACGTACATTTTTGTTTTATGTTGATATATTGAATAATGTACGAGTATGGCTAACAGGCGCAAAATGTTAAGTAGCTTATGATCTAAGCGATGAAAATATATATTTTTTTAAATTGTAGGTAATTGTGCTGGCTAATCTACCGTAATGGATATTTTGTAAATATATATAAATATACGTCCAAAAATTAAAAAAACGGTGATGTATAAAACTCGGATGACGTATAAAACCTTACCAAAACTGCAAAAATTAAGATACTTGAATTTTGCAAATTGCTTTTGGTTTCTGCATTTTTACACTATGTGTATACCAAATTTCAAGTGTCAGCAAAACTTCAAACAAATTTGGCAAAGTTTCGAGTTTCCGATGCCGATGGATGTATAAAACCTTATAGACCAAAAAGTTTTGCTCTCCTGATTTTCGGCTTTAGCGTCATTATTGTATATACCGTTTTATACCGTTTTTTCAATCTTATGGCTTTGTTATTGCAAATTTCGTAATCGGACCACCGCCATTTTGTAGCTATTTTTATTATGAACAAAATCATGTCCTAAGCATTTTTTCGTACAAAGTCATCCCGCTGAGTTATTTAAAGAAAACTACTAAAAAAAAATTTTTCACTATTAAATTGTTAATAACTTTTTTCCTGATAAAATACTTTGTCAGCAAATTAGACTGTTATTGTACTCTTCATTTAAAGTGGGCCTGTGTAGTTATTTCCATGTTATCAAGGTTTGACACAGGCCGAACCTCTACCAACTGAACTGTTTTAGAATTAAATTTTCTGTCCAGTGGTACTGTATCATGAAAATATGAAGTATACAAAAATACAGGGTGACACAATGGGCGACTTATTTATTGATATTCATTCCAAAACATGGCTATTTGTTTGCATTCCTGATATGTTATATAAGAAAATATATATCTTCAAATATTTAGGAGACATATTTTACAATTGCCGTGAATGGTTTTCCTGTGTACACAGACTTATTCCTTCATTTTCGAAAATGAATGGTTTTCCTGTGTACACAGACTTATTCCTTCATTTTCGAAAATTATTATTTCCCTATACTTTATTCAGGTGATAAAATAAAGGTTCACATAAATGACATTATAATTTATTAAAAAAAAAAAAAGAGATAAATACACGTCTTCATATCAATCACATGGCTACCTCCTAGTACACGGCATAGTACGGGGACGCTGCCCTCAACGCAGGAGCCACCGCCAGAGGGGCGGCTGGAGCGGGTAACACCGCCTTGGCTACCACGGGAGCGGCTGCGTAAGCCAGTGGAGCTTTCCTCACCACCGCGTTGAATCCGTTGACTGGATCGGCTACGTAGTCGACGATCCTCCTGGTGCCGTCGGGTTCGGCCACGTTGTACTGGCCCTGGACGATGCCGTTGGCGCGGCTCTCCACCTGGCCCTTGGAGTCGCCGGTGAGGGCGTCCTGGACATCGTAGGCGAAGGAGTAGGCCGGGTTGGGGTCGAAGGTGTCGTCGGAGATCCTGGCTAGGACCGGGGAGGCTACTAGGGCACCTGGGGCACCTATCACTCCTCCCCTGCAGAGGGTCGCGAGAGCTGCTAGGACGAAGAACTGCAAGAGATAAGAGGGTGAAGGTTACTACATACCTTTAGACATATTTAGTTATTAAAATTACTATGGAATATTGTAATATAGCTCGTTGTGTGAGAAATGCAAGTGTTTATACTCTCCTATACACAAAAATTTTTACCCGGGTTTGCTAACTTAGTGACATTTGAACAAATAATCGATGATGTCCAGTTTTTCAATTTTATCCCAAACTTTTAAAAATGTTCGTAAAATTTATTTTTAAATGTTTTTAAGTACAAGCATCAAAAGTTATTTCTTCGTATACGACTTATACCGGGAGATTCAGATTCAAATTATAAATATTCCTTTATCCAATTTATGTTCAGGTAAAAAAATATATACAGTGTGTCTACTTAAGTTGGAATCATATGGAAAACTTTTTTATTATTGGTTTTATGAAAAAAAGTTATTCTTCATAAAAAGTTGTGCATGGTCCAAAATCTAAAATGCAATCTTCAGTTATCAAAATTTCCCAATCATATACGAGGTATATCAGAAATTATGAATTTTGCTCAAGAGTAAAGTATCCTTATTTTTGACAATACAGAAAAGTGTTATGAAGAAAATTTATTTTGAATTAAAAGTCGTTTTCAAATATGCAATTACAGCTTTAGCATGAAGATTGGGGTTTTGTGATTATTTAAGTTTTACATTATAAATTATTTGTATTATTATAATTAAATTGTATGGTTGTTCATAAACATTAACAAATGGAAAGGTTATCATATTTTTAACAGATAAGAGGGATAAATACAAATCATTTATAATGTAAAACGTAAATAATCACAAAACCTAAATCTTCATGCTAAATGGCTGTAATTGCATATTTGAAAATAACTTTTAATTCAAAATAACTTTTCTTTATAACATTCTTCTGTATTGTCAAAAATAAAGGTACTTTACTCTTGAACAAAATTCATAATTTCTGATATACCTCGTATATTAGATTTAGATTTTAGACCATGCAGAACTTTTTATGAAGAATAACTTTTTTTCATAAAAAAAATAATAAAAAAGTTTTCCATATGGTTCCAACTTAAGTAGACACACTGTACATCAAATTGAACATTATATACTGGGTGATTCAGTTTGGTATTCGCGGCCCTGCACCTCTTTTATTTTAACATATAGCTTTAAAAAAACCTATATATTTTTAAATCGCCGCTCAACCTCTATTAAATGACATTATTAGATCGTCGATAATAATATGTCAAAATTGCTATAGTCAACTGTTTTTGTTCAAATGGCACACTATATTTTTTTATCAATTCTGGAAGATATTTTATTTCTGTGTTACTATGTTTTTTAAAGTAACATATTTTATTTTTAATACGAGAATAATATTTAAAACAATACTTATTTCAAATGACCTCCATTTGCTTCCAAACACAGAATAGCTCTGTTTATCACTCTCTTCAAACACTTTCTAGTGTTTCTTCATTTAATCTCCGACATTGTACTCTTATTCTGCTTTAAGGTCATGAATATCATTTAGGTAAGGCCAAAGAAAGAAATCTGTAGGAGTGAGATCGGGAGATCTAACAAGCCATTTAACATCTGTATCGAATGTTCTTCATCTCTTGCCTTTCTGGATTTAAAACCTTTTCTTTTGATAAAATCCATCTGCCGCCAAATTCCTGCCTAACTTTCCGAAAATTGTATCCGATGAAAGTTGTCTCTGTTTGAAAACGATATAAATACCTGGTAGCTTTAGCGTTCTTTTAGTATTCAAGTGATAATTAGTTATGGATAGAATAGGTAGGTACAAAATGACAATTATTTTGACAAACCATTATTTAGAAACGTCAAAATTATGTTGTTTCCGCAGCTGGCTATCTTTTTTCTGAATAAAGCTACTGAAAGTAGGGTTCATCTGTTTTGCTGTTTTTCTAGCAATATTTCTAATGAAACTATAGACTTCCTTACACAGCCTAACGCAGAAATAAAATATCTTCCAGAATTGATAAAAAAATATATGTGTGCCAATTGAACAAAAAGAGTTGACTATAGCAATTCTGGCATGTTTATCATGGAGACGATCTAATAATGTTATTTGATAGAGTTTGAGTGGCGATTTAAAAATATACAGGTTTGTTATAGCTATTTGTTAAAATAAAAGAGATACCAGGCCGCGAATATCAAACTGAATCACCCGGTATATAATGTTCAATTTGATATATATTTTTTGTTACCTGAACATAAATTGGATAAAGGAATTTTTATAATTTTTTGTATTTATATACCTTAATAAACATTTTTTACGAATTTCAAAAATCTGAAAATACAGGGTGATTTATGCGTCCTAGATAAAAACTGTTAAGGCTTAAAAACTGTATAGGAAGGACCGCCCTTAAAATTCGCCAAAGAATGCGAGGTTTAATTTTTCGTCATCGTTTGTGAAAACCCTGTATATTGACGTTTCAACTGAAAAACTGAAAAATTATAGCGAAAATTGCGTTCGTTTCTATGCGAAGTCTGATCAAAAAAATCGAAAAATTTCCACAAATAAAAAAGCTACCACGTATCACAAAAAAAATAAAAATCGCCACGAATCTAGATAACGAAACGCGATTTCCGTCGTTCAACTTTTCCCGAAAAATGGGCCCGATAACCTTAACCAAATTTTGCCTGTCTCTTCAGGAAATACGAGTAACCCGTCACAGATACCTTATACGAATTTTACTCCACTTTCCGTTATCCAAAATCGGCGCACAATTTCACTGGGTCACCTACCTTGAGAGCCATGTTAATTGTTGTCGATGAAGATGGACTGATATCGATAGCAGCAATCACCCGCTATATATACCAGCCTACTTAGATTTCATAAGTGTCTATATCCGCTCCGGAGAATACTAAGTACTTTGGCAACGCTCCGTCTGCAAATTAACATAAACCTTCTTATTACCATACATTCCGTTTCCAGCAACTTGTAATCCCGTTATCTGGGTTTTCGGGGGGACGTACGTTGTCGGAGATGTAAGTTTTTTTCTACCCGTCAAGATTGACAAAAAGCTCCGAAGGGACCGGGGCGTTATGTATTTATCAAGATGACAATGGGACAGGAAACACAATGCTTCCTTGTTGTAACAAAAGATGTACGTGTCATCCTTTTTAACGTCAAGCACCAAGAGGAGTGAATCAGTTGTTATTCGCCGATTCATTCATATTATTTTTCAATTCCGTGCGGGATGTTATACAGGATACACAGAAAACTAGTTAAAATAAAAAGTATCCTTATAAATATTTCACGAGCAATATAATGGGTATCAAAATTGGCATGAGATGGAAGGGAAAGTGTTGAAGAAACCCTATCAAATATATTGTAACGAATTTGAAATGTTCATGTAGAAACTCATATGAAAATATTGCCTGACCGAACTTAAAATCGTATAAAAATTTTAATTATTATTAAAGCAACACCAATTTGGTATAAAATTGTTAATATGGAAATTCTGGATATAAAACTAGTAATGAACAATGATATTACGTAGTATAAAAATAATAATCTTAATTTTATTCTCAAGTACAGAATAAATTTTCATAAAAACGCATGACATCGACACTTGTTAATAATCAGTGCATACAGAAAAACGAAGAGTGACTTATATCAAATGAAAGCTTAAAGTCTATAGATTTAATCGGGTACACACATCGTAGGAAGACGAGTAAACTTAAAGAAGATATCTCAATCCAACATAAACCATAACATAAAAATTTTTCATCAAATCTCAAATTTTATAATAAATTTCACAAATGTCAAAGCTAAAAGTAGCTTTGTAAGAATACCCAGAGATGACCTAAAAAAAATATAAAGTAAAGAATATTTTAGTAAATAATTTAAAGAATTGTAAATAAAAGTAAAAGGACATTTGTTAAAAATGTGTTAGTTACAAGTAGTGGTGTGAAAAAGTGTTTGAAAAGGACATCCAAAGACTGAAAATTTCTGTGCATGGACCTTAAGCAAAGCTAGGGACAGAATAATCAGGAAGGTGGAGAAAAACAAATAAATTATTCATTGGCTACGGCTTGGGTTTTGCAAGATACAGCGTGGAGACGCAGCTCCCGAAAAATTAAAAATGAAACAAGAAGAAAGAGTCCAAGGAAGAAAATTAAATACTTACCAGTAAATCTATAGTTTGCCAGAGTCCAGAAAAAGTTATCTTGGCAGCACATGAAAAAATAGTCTGCAAGGCTTCTACGTAGTTTCCAGCGAAGAAAACTACAAATTTCACGACGTAACAGGTACCCAAAACACAGTGCACTAAAATATCGCTAGCTATTCCAAATAAATCATGCTTTCTCTCGCATCAAATCTTTGCAAAGTATAAATAACAAACCACAGGACCTACCTGTACAAAAATAAGCAGAATCCAATCACTAATAACTTAAATAATACAATATTTCGTACTAAACGTGGAGGTGGTAGAAATGTATACGCCCAGTTGAAGAATGCGAGCGCGGACAAACAAAATACAAATACAGCTGTATTGGGCTACTGGGCAATAAATCTCAGCAGTTGACAAGTGGTCGACAAATTGCCCAGCAGTGCAGTGCAGCAACGTGGAATTTGATGTGATTCAGGAAATTTTAATTTATTATAGGCACCTTCTACTTAATCATCGATATTACAGTTGCGAAAGGGAGAAATAATATTATTACAACATGGCATTTTGGAGACCTTTTAAACTGAAAAAACGAAATTTATCATCAATACAATAAAATTGTTTGAGGTCATAAATAATAATTAAAATATGTTGTTGGCCAAATGAACATATAATAGAAATTTTCTACACATTATATACAAATTATTATAATTTTTTACCTTTAGCAGAAAACTTTTTTAGGGACGCCTATGAAACTCGTTAAATTTTATTGCCAGGCGTTTGTACAAGTACAACTGACTTCGTAAGACTTTAAGAATATTGCAAAAAGATGTTCATTTACATTTTATGTGTTCTTCAGGGTGCTTCCTAAGTAACTTATGGTATTTACCTAAAGAAAAAAGTTTCTATAAACATGTGACGGAAACGCTTAGATTCCGAAATATGGGGTGCTGAAAATTTTGAAAAAATATATTAATATTCGAAATAAATTTGGAACATTCAATGATGTAGTGATGAATCATTCGTTTTATCAGAAGGTGGCCATTTTCAACATCTGCTTTGATTTTGTGTCAAAACTGATTATTTCTATGATTGTTTGTAGTTGCCGGACATTTTTCTAAGAATAGGATAGTATTAGACAGAAAATTCAAGATACCTTTTTTTTGTTGTAAAAGTTAGGTGAGTCCGAAAATAATAAAAATTTAAAAAAATTCATTGGCGTTCTACATTTTATGACGAAAACGTCGACTGACTCACTCCTAACTACGCCACTGGCAGCAGATAAAAATTGACTTTTACTAAAAATGCAGCTCTTTACCAACGTACAATAACTGCCAAATTTTAAGAACCTAACATTGACTGTTCCAAAATTTATTTGAAATATTAATATATATTTTTAAATGTTCAATACCCTGTATCTCGGAATCTAAGCTTTTCCGGCTACATGTTTATAAGAACTTTTTTTTCATTAAATACTATAAAAAATTGTGCCCTGGAGTTACGGACCGTACCTAGGAAAGACCCTGTATAAAAATCATTACAAATTATATCCGAAATATCTGAATCTTTATAGTGTGCGAGAAAATCATGGATTGATAGTTGAGAGTTCAAAGGGTATGTATAAAAATTGGGAGCTCAAAATAATCATTGGTTTTACCGTGAGAGAGAATTGAAAAATAAGTATAATTTTGTATTTTCTTAAAATTAACACTTGAATTGTGCGGTTTCGATGAAAAATTTTCTGCAATACTACCATATCACGAAGTACTTAGAACCATACTTTTTATATGGCTGCTCTAAAGTCAAGGTCTGAAATAATTCATGAAAAAAACATCTTTTTTCACCAATTTGTTTTTGGGTCTATAATGTCTTGCAGCAACAATAACGCACATACAAATTCCGGACCACTTTTATTTTGAAGAGAATCTCAAAACGAAACTTTTTTCCGTTAACTATTTTCTCTAATGTCAATATTCTTCGGGTTATACATGAAAGAAAGGAGAAAAATGCGCCTTTTTATTTTTTTTTACATTTTCTTGCGCTAACAATTATGCACAACTTTTTCAGTGGGCGCATATCGCAATTATCATTTTACATAATATTTCCAACAAAAATTACTATGTGGAACATCCATACAAGCTACTTTTAAAACTGATACGGACTGGACTAAAGCTGTTTATATATTTTTCTGGAAATTATAACTTCTTTCTACATTTGTAAAGGGACTAACGAATCACTGGTATCTTTTACCAACAGATTATGGTATTTTTTGAAATTCAAACAATGCTGATAATAATTCAGACAATGGCCCCCATTTGCTTCTTCAGCTGACTTAAACTATTTATCTTCCCCATTTTTATTCCTAATTTCGCAATCTCCATTATTTCTCTGGTAATATGAGTTCCTAGCTGCCGTTAAGAGAGCAGTCCGAGTTAACCACCCCCTATTATTCTTCCCCTAATAGAAAAATATAAAACCATGCACTTGGCCCGCTCTTTTAATTAGAGAGATTGCAGCAATAATTAAGGAAGTTTCCTGAAAGTCCGGCCAAAACTACACGGCGCAAAATTCGGGAAATATTTCATCAGCAGGCCCAGACGGCAGGCAGTCGCTTGGGAATTTAATTAAAATTAAATCGCCATATTTGTCCGCGCATCGAGTTACCACTGGACGGCCTTGGAAGTTTCCCTCTAAAAAATTTCGGCTGGGAGACGAAAGAAAACGATTTCTAAAAATAAAGCTCAAAAATCGACGTTTCGAGACTCTTAATTAAAAACAAAAAGTTAAAAATTACATTCAAAAGAATTTATAAAAAAAAAAACTGACTTTAAATATTTATAATCCCTATTTTAATTAGCTTAATTAATACAAAGTAAAATAGTGGTTACTTAATTAAAATGAATATTGTCAATTTATTTGCACAATTATTAAATTAAGTAATCACTATTTTTTTTATTTTCTGCAGAACATTTGCAACTTTTTTGTATAAGGGTCTCGAAGATGTCTCAATAAAGAGACGAGACGTTAGTATTCAGAAAATTGTATGTTTCCTTTAATTTCCATTTTGCCACAAATCTTGTCAAGCTCCTAACTACATATATGTCGAAGACATTGGAGAGACATAGGGGTTGGTTTGCTCCATTATCTCCATCGAAATTATAAACGGCTATGGTTGTCTCGTCAATTGAATGGTACGGTTGTTTTCCAGGCTTTCAGCCTTGTTCCGTCCACAGGGGCGTTTCCTTGTGCCTTCCTCTATCCTATCACTTTACTTTTTACCAAACATAACCATATAAAGAAGTGTTTTCGGACACACACAGGCTAGAACTTAGCTCTGAAAAGACAGTTTGGTACTCTATGTAATATTTTTGTATAATAAACAACAAACAACAAACTCTTCAACATACCATCGACGGTGACAATTTTTCGAGTGGCTACGAATACATAAGCGGTTACAAGAGTGAAGCCGACAGATATTAATTTGTTCGATTCTTAGTAATGACGTTATTACAAATTCGCTAAATTTATTTCTCTTCTAAAAGAGTAAGCTTGTTTGTCCATTAGCAACAATTTTAGGAAATTGGAAAAGCCATATTAGTCCGGTCAAATTAGTCATAAAAATAGTGGTCAAATAACGAAAATTTTGGTGGAGACCTTGGGTACACCATCACAAATAAAGTGTCAAAAGTCCCCATCGATCCCATGT